GGAGTTGGCATGGGAGGGGGCGGAGGTGGGGGTGGGGGCGGAGGTGGAGGAGGAGGAGCTGTAACAGCGGAGGCAAGCGCAGAGAGATCTCTTTCTGGAGGTAGGGAAAGGAGCGGGGCAGCAGCTGGGCGTTGTTCAAAGGCAGTGTCCCCGGGAGGTAATGAAACACTTTCAAGTTGGCGTGTATCAGCAACAGCCGACGGCTGGGTAACAGCGGAGAGCCCTGAGCCTTCTGCCCCTGTGGTCTCTTCAGTCTGCACGCCAGCAGTCAGCGACTGCGGCTGATCTGAGCTGCCAATGGGAGCTGAGGTGCTGGCACTTTTCCTTCTTGCATAAGCCAGTCGGAGTCTGGTGGATTTCAGTATTACCTGACCAGGGTACCGCTGCACAGGAAAAGAGAAAGAAGGAAGCTGACGAAAGAATCTGGCACAAAAAAATCAATTTGTCTGCAGTGAGGAATGTGAAGGTAAGACACAAAAGGGTCTAAAGACAAAACACTCAAGCTTTTATAAAAGGAGAAAAAGGAGAAAACCCTGTGCAAACCTGTATGGGAGAATAAATGTATAGTAAAAAGGAAACAGTGGTATTTGTTACAGGGAGAAGAAAGAAAGAAATTTAACCCAGTTAAATTTTTAACTTAAGTCAAGTCTGAGGCGAAATATATAATAAATTAATCAGTGTTTCACATAATTATGAAAAAAAAGGATCAGGCTAAAAATAAGGAACTTTTTGAATATTTTAACTCCCAATGCTAATGGGAATTCTAATTGAAACTGAAACTGGCCAACTGAAATTCACTAATTAAAATTCTGCAAACGTTTACAACAATCTTTCCTTAGCACATGTTTCATATAATAAACTAGTGAAAGTGGTTCTCAAGCAATTGATCTGGTGTCATTTCATTTATCGATATGAGTCAATCCTCAGCACTAAGTGCCCATCTAGTTTAGGGCTTTAATGACAAGGAACTCCTGTTTCTATTTCTATTTGACAAAAATGTCTGCTTGTTTTAAAGTAAACCAATAACCAAGGCTATTGCAAATGCAATGACTACAGTCCTAGAATCACACAGGGATTTGATTAAAGAGAATTGGGCTCTGGTACCAACCTGTTTGAAGCTGCGCAGTCTGTCCAGTGTTTTCTGTCGCTCCTGACTGACCCATGTGCTCCTTTTCTCTTCTTCTTCCTGTTGCTGTTCTCGTCTCTGCAGACACATAAGTATAAAGTTCCAGATGCAATGATGCAATCTTAAGGGCAACCTCCCATCTCCATATCCCATAAGATGTCTCATCTGGCCCCAGGTGTGCAAATGTTTATTAGATTCACTGTGAAGTGAAATGAAGGAATGAGACTGCAACAAGCTTCCTAAAAGTCAATATTTATATTCAAATTTAGGTGATGAAAAGGAATTGGCTAACATTCATCCATCTATTTTCTAAGCGCTTCATATAATTCAGGGTAGCAGGAGAACCAGGGTCTATCCCAGCAGCCATATCACCCTGCAACTCACAACTGGCAACCCACTGAAGCTAAGCAGGTGTGAGCCTGGTCAGTATGGGAGACCTCCTGGGAAAAACTAAGGTTACTGCTGGAAGAGGTATTAGTGGGGCCAGCAGGGGGCGCTCACCCTGTGGTCCACGTGGGTCCTAATGCCCCAGTATAGTGATGGGGACACTATACTGTAAACAGGTGCCGTCCTTCGGATGAGATGTAAAACCAAGGTCCTGACTCTCTGTGGTCATTAAAAATCCCAGGGCGTTTCTCGAAAAGAGTAGGGGTGTAACCCTTGTGTCCTGGCCAAATTTCCTATTGGCCCTTACCAATCATAGCCTCCTAATAATCCCTATCTATGAATTGGCTTCATTACTCTGCTCTCCTCTCCACTGATAGCTGATGTGTGGTGAGCGTTCTGGTGCACTATGGCTGCCGTCGCATCATCCAGGTGGATGCTGCACATTGGTGGTGGTGGAGGGGAGTCCCCATTACCTGTAAAGCGCTTTGAGTGGAGTGTCCAGAAAAGCGCTATATAAGTGTAAGCAATTATTATTATTATTATTATTATTATTATTATTATCCCAGAAAGTAACTGGAGGGATGCACCCTGGACAGGACACACACACAGACACCAACACTCCCACCAGGGCCTGTTTTCCCAGAAGCCCAATTAACCTACCAGTATATCTTTGGACTGTTGGAAGAAACCAGAGAACCTGGATGAAAGCCACGTATACACGGGGAGAAAATATAAACTCCATGCAGACAGTGCCCCCAGTCTGGAATTGAACCCAGGGCTCCAGTGCTGTGAGATAGTAATACCGACCACTGCACCACCATTCTGCCCAATGGCTAACATTCAACTTCACTCAGGTGTGTAACATGGAAAAAACAAACATTGTGTTTTCTTTCTTCTCTTTTCAGCATGGAAACCTATTACTTGTTCCTTTGTAGCCTACGCATGCTGATGCAGCTACTCACCTGAACTACTAAAATCCTTATGTTCTTTCAAATCACAGTAGTGTGCCCAAAGAAAAAAATAGTGCTTGGTATAATTGTGCAAGTTCAAGAAAAGCACTAAATGGCATCAAAACTTGTTTTAGACTGTTTAATGTTTTAGATAGTTGTACAGTCAAGAAGGGAAAAAGAAGCATTCTAAGGTTTGTTGCTTTTCACAGACAATTGACAGAATCTGGTAAAAAAACGTGTTTGTGCAAACAGCAGTGACAGTTGTAGTTCTGTTATCGAGGTTGCTCCAAAAATTTTTAGGAAAAGTGTGTGTACAGGCCTCACTGTGTCATTTTATTTCCCCATTGTATTTCTGCAACGACATGTCCCTGTAAAACTATACCTCTGACATCACTGAACAGTGCCAACGCAACTTGACTGAAGTAAAGACCACAGGTAGCACTGAGTATGTGAAACTGTTACAATAACATCACCAAGGGTGCATGCTTAATGTGTGGGCTATGCAAGCACAGACAAGATGCAAACTGAATCTTGGCTGATGGCTTTGAACAGGTGCCTCAAGGGATGAATGAATGGATTTAATGGGCCGAAACCTGGCCACAGCCCCTGTGTTTAACTCCCCCTGAAATCCAGCATTTATTTTGCATGTGGAAGAAAAAATCTTAAGTCAGAAGCTGAGAGCAAATACAGAAGCTCAGTGTTAATAAAACAACATACCAGTTGCAAGGCATGATGGGATGTGTAGTCCTCTTGGCTACCTTGACGATGCTGTATCTTCTCATTGTGATTCGCAATGCAGATTTCCTGTGAAAGAAGAACTCCTTTTAAGACATAAAGACCACTCAAAAGTAAGATAAAAACTATACATTCCTAATGTGAAATTAACAATATGCATTTCAAATCAAATCAAAGTTTATTTATCAAATGCACAACAATACAGCATACAGCAGTAGTTGCTGGCAATGAAATGTCTTTTCTGCAAGCTCACAAAAATCACTAGAATCACAAAAACACAAAAATCACAAAATTGAGGTTACAATCACAAAATTGAGGTTACGTTACTTAGTATTTCAATATTAAGTCAAGCAATGTGCTCTACTCTGTCTCTAAATCTTAAGCATGATCTTGTTAAACATACTGTACATGAAAACATGTAAACTAAACTAGTTGAGGTCCATCACTAAGCTTTTATTTATTGTCATGACTTGAGAAATATGGGCATGCTTCAGTTTTCAAAGTTTTTATTCTGTATTTTGTTACACCAATCAGATTTTACAAGTTTTTCATGGCACACAGGGGAGAATGAGAGAAGTACAGGGAGGTGAAGGGGAAACTCCCACCTCTGTAACACTCATCTTTCAAAATCTCACGGACTCTATAGCCCTGTGCTAGAGATTAGAGGACATGTGTGTTTCACACCGACAGCAGTAGTCTGTTGGGAATCCTGGGCTAAGATCTAAGGACATCTCATGTCCATTTTTGAAGAAATCGGGATTCAGAAACCAGGATATGGCTTTTTCATGGCTTTATGATTGCTGGGGTTTGTTCATGGAGGAAAATAGCCTAAGTTAGGTTTTCTGATTTTTTAAAACAAGAGAGATTTCAGATAACATGCAACGGTCTACTAAAACCTCCCTCATCACTAATATTCGGTAAATATGTAATATTGTTTCACTATCCACTACAGCTCTTGCCAGTTTGCACTTGTATTGAATTAAAGACTCCTACTAAAAAGAAGCTTGGTACATTTCAAATTGACAAGTTACCGGCACTTGTATAAATGGCACTGTATAAGAAGATAGAAAGAAAATATATACGCATTACTCACTTTATTTTCTGCAAGATCAATGTTCATAGAGAGTCGTATTCATGCAGTGAAAATCTAATTTAATATTTTAGCATGAGGAGTAAGAATAGTACCTTCTTGTTCCTGAGGTAGGCTTTCTTGGCAGATATGCGCCCCCTTCTGGCCTCAAGTTGCCGTATCCTTTGTTGCAGTTTGAGGAGCTCCTCCTTCTGTGGGTGAACTGAAGCAGCCAAGTCCTCTGTGGCCAGCATGGCATCCATACTCTCGTAAGTATCATAGTACACCACTTCATCCTGCCTCTCTGCCACAGAGACACAGGCAACAACAAAAAAATCATCTGCGTGCTGCAAACACAGCAAACAGCTACAGTATGTCTTGCTATATCTATGTACTAAGACTGAGTAAGGTGTGCAGTTTAGAATAGTTTAGCATTTGCTGTGTTTTGTTTCTGAATGACAAGTGATGTGTTTAAAAGATTTTAGCAGTTCGCTGTCCTTGTTTGCTACCAATCAGACACTCTACATGCATAGAACGTTAGAGGGAGATGGATTCCTGAAACCTTCCATTTTCAAAGAATCCCAGCAGAAAACAAAAGTTGATCAGCTTCAATAAATGAGATAATTATCACATTAACATCCAATTCTTCCTCTTGCTGATCCTTTCATCTGTGAATACTGGGCCATTTTTGACATTGGGCATTTTTAACAGTTTTGAAGCAATAATTATTTAACCGAGCATTAGCAGAAAACAATGTCTTTATTGGGTCAACATTATAAATCCTTTCAGACACAACAGTGCCATTTGCCATGAGAGAAAAAAAGGAAAATTGGTATGCTAGGAAGTGAAAACATTTATAGCATTTGTACAATTACAACCATTTAGTTAAATGTCAACAACGCACAGGAGATGACAGGTGTTCTGTTCTCCCCTTGATATGCCCCTCATATATCTTCATCAGCAGTCAGAGGAGCTGTGTTTTGTTTACCAAAGACAATGTGATGTATTTAAAGCCTTGATCATTTTAATTTCTTACTCCTAAGAGATTTAATTCAGAATCTGAAGTTAGCAGCTTCCAAAAGCAAAACGTACATACTGTACACTCACAATGATCCTTGTCTTGAAAACTGAGCTGTGTTAAAAATACTTCACTACAGCTAGTAAATATGATGAAGGAAAAATGCTTCACTTTTTTTCTTTTTTGACATAAATTATTGTACATTCCTTGAAGGGCAACTGCAATGCTATTTTCATATTTCAGAGTCAGAAAGAATCGGCATTGATGAATGCATTTCAAACTGCAATAAAAGTAAAATATACTCCATAACTTGTAAAATTTACGATTTACACCACAGAATAGACACACTTTCCAGGTTTCTGCAGCACCCTGTTCAGGCCCTATTATGTTGTAAACAAGCAGATTTGTGAAAACTGTACAGTACATCTCTCTCTTTTGATCCAATAGAAATATTGCTCTCGATATCAACATGGTTTTGCAGACAAATAATACTTGTTAACTCTGCATGCATATCATGTTGGAACATTTCTGCAGTGAAATGTCTGTTGTACAACCTGTATTTATTCACTTGTATATCACATTACATTAGTCATTACAGAGACTAGTGAGGAGGAAGGGCCAAATCACGTCACAATTTGTACTGTAGGAACTCGAATGCCAGTTTGTGACAACATGGCGACTTGCAGTACTTTCACAAAATTCACAATTCTGTCCTTAATTTGAAATTTGTACATTTCTTCTATAACGTCAATTAATTTATTTTGTTACTGGGATTTAATAATTTAATGGAACAGAACAGTAGAACACCAGAGTTACAAAAATCATTATAGATGTTATTTCAGTTTTAAATGTGTTTGCGCTTCTTATTGTTTGAAATGGTTTGTAAGCAAAATGTTGAATTAATGATTCTTAGTTTCATGTCAGGTTTAACAAGTTGTCCTTACTTCAAGGAATCACTTGCCTAAACATTCCCTTTATTTTTGAAGTTTATTTACAATAAATGTGCACAGTTCATTATGTCAATATCTTAGTTTCTTAATCAGAAATAAATCAGCTTTCACTTCAGAGGTATTGTTCCAGTGTTCTATTATCTAAGAAAAACACAACAGCTGGCACCAATTTAAATGTCTAAATCATAGGCTGAAAGAAAAATGAAAATTGTAAAACATTCCTTTAAAAAGACCCTGCCGCGACAAAATGGATTGTTAGTCTTTATTACAAACATTTTGGTTGTCAGTCAACTAGATACCTGGTCAGTTCGTTACTTTGGTGTTTGAAGTTCTACTATGCCTGATTCTTCTGAATTGAACTGAATCGAGGTTTATACAGTATTATCTTTCATCTCCGGCTTTAATGATTCACATAGAATAATACCCAAGGAAAAATTCTGCAACTTTCTTTGCATTTGAAACAAAATTTTAATGCAATTTCTTTTATTTTAATTTCTTTCATTTCTTCATGCTTGACTCTGCATTGATATTAGTATCTTTCAGAAAAGAAACTGGTTATACTGTATGTTTACCTACAAAAGTGAATAAGATCAGAATACTGGGGGGGTTCACATACTGTATTTGCTAGGCAAGATTATATTAATTCTGAACACCAGAATAGCAATGAAATGGACTAGTGTGAAGAGTTGCAAGTTTGTTATTTAATTAAAGGAAACACAACACAGGAAACAACAAGAGTTAACTGGAGCTTCAAACATATAAAAGAGCTGTAGAGAATAGAGCTACAACTATGCAAACTGCACTGAAATCTGTATGTTACTGTAGAGAATCCTGAAATGAAATGTACAGCTTGCATATACAGTGTTTACTTAAGTTATTTTTAAATGGATTTAACTCCAGTATACTGATGTCTTCCCTATTAAATCATTCATTTCACAAGCTGTTTTTTGCACTCTTTAATGTAGTCTTTATAGCTTTTTTGCAGAATCAGTGTTTCATCTCATAACTGAAATCTTCAATATAGTCCAAATGAAAAACAATCACCATGGGTGATAATATATCAACGGGACCCAATTGCCACTTTCAGGTAAACAACAAACCTTTACTCTCTGATATTTCTTTTCTCTATATTTGTTGTTGATGCAATACTGAACCATATCAATAAATTAAATCTGCAATCCATCTGCTTAAACTGTACTAGTAGCTTAGGCAACGAGACTTGGCCTTTTAAACAAAAGAATGCTGTTGAAGAATGTTGAGTTAATCAATGGCATTCTTTCAACACTCAGCAATTACATTCTGTTACCAAGTCCCCTTGCCATATTCCAGCCTTATATGCCCGAACTAAAAAGGGGATGATAAACTCACAAGCAGGAAGGCTACACCTCCACTCCTGGGCCTGTTCTGCCAACAGGAAGTGGGTGTGCTGCTTACCGATCATTTGCCTCTTGATGCTCTCCAGCTGTGCAGTCAACAGCAGCTCCTCGCACTTCAGGATCTCAAACTGAATTTCATAGAGCTGGAGCTGCAGCTCATAGTAATCCGATTCCAGCTGGTCCAGGCGGGCCATGGCCTCCTCACCCCCCTTCAGGCTTTGCATCTGTGCAAACCACAGGCGAATGGAACAAAGGTCAGGGCAGGGCAGGCTTGGATAAACAAGAAGACAAGGCCAATGGGCAGCAGACATTTAGATTTTGTCTTCCACAACTCAAGGCAGGAGTGGAAACGCTCACTGTGTCCTTTCATTCAGATTTCGCCATACAATATTCACATACAGTATTACGTTACCCGATATTGCCTTACACAACACCCTCAACCTGCCAGAGATTGATCCTTCAGGTTCGAGGAAGACAATCATCCATAACCCAATAGATAACTGATGAATGAACTGGATCCGGATACCACAACACATTCACTAAAGTGCTGGATAAACTCTGTACCTGTTTAATTCATGTATTCTTTGCCTGTTTATACACTTCCTGCATTGTACATTACATAGAAAATATCTTACAGTATTTGCATTGTATGTTCCTTAGTGGGTTTTCTGGGTCCATGGTATACTGTAACATTGATGGATGAGTGGCTAAAACACATTTAGTTAAATAAGGGACGTGAATCTCTGTTTTTTTAAAGAACATTTGATACTGTAAGTTAAATATAGTACGAAAAAGAGAAAAACTATATTATACTTTTACATACTGTCACACTTTTGCAAAATTAATGCAACCTTTATAATGTATTTTTCTGTATCATCTAGGTGAATTTGCAGTAACAAGTTTAGAATGTTTTGTGCATGTCTGTGCATGCCGTGCCTGTCGGTTCTTAAGTTTTGTATTTGCAGTATCAATTTGTTTTCCAAAGGTTAACGTATTATATTAAACTACAATATTGTTGTTTAATCGTATCTACTGGAATATGGCACTATGATGCACTGTGTGAGGTGTTATGAAATGATCAAATAAAAAGTTTATCAGAAAAGGTTTCAATAGAAATAGGCAGCATTCCAAAGACTTGATGATCCAAGGAAATTCATGCCTTCCAGATCAAGGTATAAATTTTAATAGTCAAACAATTTCAAAAAGTTAATGCCTAGATCTAAGGAAACCATGAGTCCAACACCATTAATTGTGCCATTAGAGGGAGCCATTGTTAAATCTATGACAGACTTTCATATGAACTTAAGAAAGTTACAGACAAGAGAAAGCCACTCAGCCCAACCACCTCATTTGGTAACGAGCCAGGGAGATGATACAGACCTACATGTCCCTTCAATACAAAGGATTCCCAAACATCTTCATTACCTTCATTACTAGGCCAGAGAAATTATCTCAAATGCAATGCAACCAGAGATATTACAAAACAAATGAAATCAGTAATGCTACAAATCCGTGAAGCTATATTTTTTACATTTACTTTTGTAGCTCAGAGATTTTTAAGTTCAAATGACGGTGGTGGATATTTGATGAGAATGCAATTCAAATTTTACTTCGAAGTGCCTTAACGTATCATTTTAAACTGAGAAGAAAAAGCCTCTGATCTGAAACATTGTACAGGAATTCTGGTAGAAAGTAATTTAATCCTTTAAAAAGAAATCTTCTGGCAACCTAGTTCGTAGGGCACATGATGCCATTTACAGAAAAAAATCACTTTAAGATGCCATCATCATCATACACATAAAAAATGATAGTTCAGGTGGGTAGCTGCGTCAGCATGCGTAGGCTGCAAAGGAAAAGGTAATAGGTTTATTCCATGCTGAAAAAAAGAAGAAAGAGAACACAACGTTTCGGCCGTGGAGCCTTCTTCAGGTGTCAAAAATGATACCTATAAAAAATGATACCTATTATCTATCTATACAACCCATACTAGGTACTTAAGGCAAAAAGACCCCCTGAGCCAATCTCGCCAGAGCAGATTAATGAGAGTTTGCCCAGAGCCCTTCTTCATGGGGAACAGGAACTGGTCAATTTAAAGTAAGACTATCAAATCTACCCTTCACCTCTTTGCGAAGTGGAAGCAAACTGGAGTACCTAGCGAAGCCCACACACTTGCATAAAAAATATTATCGGGAATATCAGCTTTTAAGGAAGATCTTGAGGAGGCTTTTGAGTGGCTACAGTAACTGTATACAGTATTTCTCTTAACACACTGTCCCACTGTACTCTTATCACTGATTCTCACTCTGCCCAGCAAAAATGTCCTTTAATGAAGGAAGAAGATGAATGGGCAATTATTCACATGTCACACAAAAGACATAGCAAATTTTCGAAGAAGAAAAAAAGGTATTGCCAATTTCAAATAGAAAGACATTGTAAAACACCTGACATGCTAAAAAAGAAACAGATACTGTACGTACATCTTAAAACAGGACTATTGCATCCAAGCACAGATAATGCCAATTAAACATCTGAATTACAACTTATTAACAGCAAATGTTAAGCAACAACTACTAAACTGAAACCATCAAACTATCCTTAAACAAACTGAAGAACGTCTTAGAACTACATAAAAACAACAGGTATAATCTTTGAGAACCATCTTCTGTATTAGTACACTATCTCTTACTGTATAATTATTGGAAACAGGAGAGGGAGAAGCAAGCAGCTTTTGAGACAAAAGTAAATCCTCGAGTCGCGTTTTCCCACCCAAGGCGAGTGCGCGTACCTCTTCTCGCAGTGCGTGCTTCCTCTGCTCCAGGCAGATTTCTTTTGCCCTCATCAGCTGCAGCGTCTCCTTGGACACGGCGTACTGCAGCTTCTCCATGCGTTCCACCGCCACTGCCCACGCAGCCTTCCCGAACTTCTTCTGGTCGCCGCGCATGCGGTCGTACACAGCTGAGGCACAGGAGCACAAGAGCACAGGCCCGGACAGGATGAGAGAGGTGTGAGGATGGGGGGGACATCCCAGGACATTTCACACTGTGTACACCGTCTCCGTGACACAGCTCAAGGTTTATTTAAACAATATTTTGCTGTTGTTTTTTTTTATTTTACATACCCACCCCATCTGCCTATGCTAACTGTTCCTTTACACCTTGGGTCAGAGAAAGGTGCACCGCACAGCGAGAATAAAGAAAGGCAAATGAACTTCTCTAATGCCCTGTACCCTTGAAGCTGTTTATCTTTGTTAATTTATAAAAAAAAAACAGCTAAATACAAAAAAATAACTGTACAAAGAGCAGGTGCACAAATTAACAGCCACTCTCCTATTGACCAACAGCGCCTGAGAACAGAGAATGGAGGACCATGGTGTTCCTAGAGCTCAACCTGCGGTCATAAGTAAATAGCTTTAGTGGTGGAGCTACTGTTCTTGAGAGCCCAAAAGTGTCTGAAGTTCTTCTGTAAAAGATTTACTAAATGTTGGTAATTAGTGACACCTAGAGGTTTAAAAGATCAGTTTGCCTATATCTATGGTCAAACATTCTACATCATCCTATTTAAAATACAGTTATTCCTAGCTGGATGATACAAAACCTTTGGTCACTATTGTATATACAGTAGCAAAAATAAAGAATGAGTCTCAAGTTGCTAATGTGAAAGTGCATGAAAAAATAAGAGCCAGATTATTTTATTGATGATGTAACATACAAGAGAATAAAAATACCACTTCAGGCTCAAGCAATCAGTATGAGTTCAGCATTATGACACTGAATCTTTTAAGTCATGCACAGCATATTTTTAGCCACCTTCAAGCTAGGATGTACAAATTAATCCTTTTCACCTTTGCAAAATTCTACATACGATGGCAAAGAAAAACAGTTATGTTCACTTGAAATGCAGATTAAATTCTCATCTCAGAGGCATGAAAGAAATTCATTGATAAAAGTTGTACATCACAAAATTGCAACCATGTATTGCAGTAAATGTTTAAAGAACAAAATATGTCAAATTCATTTTAAGCGCTGAAGTACTGTAAACCATTTTATTTTCTTTTAAATTTTACATTAACAATAGGTAATTATTGTACAATATGTTTTTTATTATTTAATACAATAAATGAATTCAATAAAACAATAAAGTTTCACATCATTTCCCAAAGCATACATTTGAGTACTTTATAATTGATGTCAGAAAAAAATCATTTCATAAAATATATTGGCAGCTTAGAATAGGGATATGAAACTGCTAAATTGTGCCCAAAATGTTTTTCACCTTTTAGCACCCCAGTTTATTCAAGACCGATCTCAATGAGGTGTTTTAAACTTCATTTATTTGGACATTTTTCTAACCTGTGCAGTTTAACACATTATTTCCACTAACGTGGATTATAAGCAGTGCATCATTGCCAACCAGCATAAAATATTTAAGGTCAGCCCTTGGTGTATGGAAAATCCATACTTTTATACATCATATCAAGGAATTACACTTATTTTCTGCAATCTGTTTTTCCTTGCCATCTTTCTTTTCAGTTCATGAATGAGCCAGGACAAAATGGGAACACCAAATGAAAGAGAAATCAATACAATAAATCGATAGTTCCTTTCTTTAGGACTTCATAGACTTTCATGGTATATGCAGGCCCTGCCTGAGTCTGTCAGCTTCTGAGAAAGTCGATTGATACAGTGCTCTAATCAGCTGGGTTAACCACTTAAAAGGAGCACATTCAGTTTTAATTACCTGTACTATTTTTTTTTTTAGGGTTGAGCTGAAGGATAGTCAAAGAACATCCTGAATTATACTCCTTTGAAGTGGGTACGGCAAACCCTCTGAACAAAACAAAATGCAATCCCCTGTGCAACTGACTTTGTTCCTTTACTTAAACATGTACACAAAAAGTTCATGCTTTCTTCCAATCAGAATAACTGAAAAAAAGGGTAATCCTCAACTGAATTATTCTGACATGGAGACCTATTTTCAGGCAGTCTTCTTCATGCTTTACATTATTTTTCAAAACTAAACCACAGATGTCATGTGACTTCATTTTACGACCTCTGATGAGTTCTCTCTTAGATTTTCAGTTTTATTAGTTCTATACCTGTTATCTTTCTAATTCTGCATAATGCTGCAATGCAATAATTGGGTCAATAGCTATAATTGTGTTTCCAGATTGCAGTTACTGCAAGTAAATATTATTAAATTATGCTATGCCTTTCTTTGCCTTTTTGTCATACTGTGGAACCACACCGTTATCTTTGCCTGATTCACAATTTTGTGTCAGTTTACAGACCCTGACTTGCGTCTGGTTTAAATGGAAGCCTTCCTGTCCATCAACAGAAGCCAGGGCTAGAGATTTGGGTATTTAACCCGACTCTCATGGTAAAACAGTTAATATTTGTAGAGTAAAGTTACTCGTGTGAAGTTAAACAGCCTAGAATGATTGTAGGCTTAATTACAGTACTGAAACTGCTAGTAAGGAGTCCCCTTGTGTTTTTTTTATTTATGTAAAAAGAGCACTTTTATTAAAAGGACACTTTTTGAACCTTACTTTGTCTGGCCTATATTTGTTCTGACTTGTGTAACCACCCCTGAACTTACTGCCAGGTAGTTTAATCACCGCCATCATGAGAAAAAAAACAAGAGAACATGATAAACTCCTAAAGCCCCTTGACAAAGAGGAGAAAGCTGAAGGCTGAAAGTGGGTGACAGAGTGCCCCCTTCCCGAATTACCTTTTTGTGCGCGAGCTGTGATTTCGAAATACTTGACAGTGAAGTTCTGTATGGAGAGCACCGCCATGTTGGCCTTTCTTTGCCAGTCGGAGTCCTCCTTCACCAAGCTCTCGATCCTCCGTGGGCCGAGGTAATCATTCTCCATGGAAATCTGAGAGGCAGGAAGAATATTCAGCTGCTTTCCCAACCGAGATTCCCGACCGCAATGTTCAATGTTCTGTTTAAAAAACAGTTCTCCCCGCTAACATTTGGTAACTCCAGTATCACAATGGTACAGTGGGACCAGCATAGTGTGGTCTTGTAACTGGGGGGTTTGGGATTCAAATTCTGGGGCCAAGTGACATTTGGGCCTTTATCCCAATTGCTGCTGTTCACCCAGCTATATGAGAGGGGACCAACTTTAATCTCGGTGACTGGCCGAACTCCTGTGTTGGGAAGGGAAGCGTCACCAGCTCTCTTTTTTGGACTGATTCCACATCTCTTGAAAGTTGTACACGATATTCTAAATTAAGTATTGCTACAGTTGTGCACTGTATAAAATTACAATACTAAAGAATGCAGACAGAGAATGGTTTTCTTTGTCTGCCACGAAAGACTTCAATGACAAATGACCTTTCCGCTTTTGCTTTTTCATTGCTTATTCGTACTAGGTTTTCTCTACTTAACAGAAAAAAAAAAACATATCAGCATCAAAGGCAAGTGTTTTTCTCCAGGGCAAAGAGAGTATGCTAACAAACGGTCACATAATGACATTAAAAACTTGATTTGCAATAGTCCTATTAATTAACTATTGTTTATATTTTAAGCAGAAAATTTTTCAAGACACTTAAAGAACAATATCCATGAGCAATTAGCTTCAGTAGATTTGTCTACAGGTTTATACAAAGTAATTAACTCACATGACTTACATTACATTAAATGGTAATTTAATCAAATGAGATACCATATATAAATATGATGAATATCCCTCACGCCTACATGTTTTTGTCTCCTTCATGGTTATGTTTAAATTATAGACAATGTAATAAGAGGGTTTCTACACTAAGGAACTGAGAAATTGATACCCAGGTAAATATAACTTGCTGTTTTCTAGATTCACAATAAGATGTACAGTATTTGCTTTTTCAAGCTCCTCCTCTCTAATGAGACAGACTGGAGATAAATATAAGGTTATCCAGAGGGTAGTCAACCAAGAAAGCAACCAATTACACCAAATTAGTGGCTATCCAAGGGCTTCAAGTTTCAAAAACATGGAGCACACTGCAGTCTTAAAACATTACATTTAATAAGGCACAGGTGATTTAGTTTTGCTGGTTCACAGAATTCAGCAAGAGTGGAAAGCGGAAAAAGTAGACGCTTATGACCCAAACACGAAGGTTTGTTGATGACCTGGAACAGCAAACACTCTAGGGACATGAGTAGAAACAATATGTCTTCGACAAGGCCAAGAAAGTTATTGTAACTGAAAACAAAAATTGAAATCTTTCATTTACAGGACATAATGGAGAGAGAGATCATAACAAGTTGATTTTGGTGGAAAATGTTATTTTGAAAACCAGAATACCGACTCATCTTATTCTCAAAACCCTTTACCAGGATTATTTTAGGTGTTTTTACGTTAATGGCAGCAGTTTCTTTGAAAACAATTATACTTGGAATACCCAGAAGACGGACTCTAAAAGTTGACGCAGTTGAGTCTTATTTCCAGTAGACTAACATTTCCAGGCAACTCAGAGATACTACTTCCCATTAAAAACATTTTTATAGGTTTCACTTCTGTACAGGAAATCAACTTTGCAGTTTATTTTAAAAAAGCAGACAGCAGTTATAACAAACTGTCATATTCTTGAATGTACTGTATAGCCTACAATAAACACCTCTCTACCAACAAGCAATTCGGCTAAATGTTTCCAAATGACCATTTGTTAAGTGACATATATTATATGTATACTTATGGGACTCAGGAAGTGAATGAGCAACAAAAAGGAGACAAAGTCAAACTGCTACATTGAAATAACAAGTCAGCTTCCTTGGGAAGTAGCTATTATAGTCATTATGCATTCTATCTCTGAAGATTGTTCATCAACATCTATCATATCGTGTGTGTGTTGAAGCTCCGTATTGAAAAGAACGGCCCAACATATACAAAAAAAGGAGCCCAGTCAATTCTTTTACATTTTCCAGAAGCAAATTCACTTCTAGATCCCACTCTTTGTCACTACCCAAAGCTGTGTGAAATATATTGAAGCCATCTCAAAGCTGCCATGAGAAACAGCTCTCTGTACTTTATCCTGTTATAAAAATAATTAGCCTCTGCTAACCAAGAGTCATTTAAGTGATCCAGGGCAAACTAGAAACCGCAGGTAGCTCAATGGGGGAGCAATATAACCTCTTTATTTATACATCTAACACTTATGTAGGGACAGATCTCTAAATATCAGGACCTGTGCTTACTGTATGTCTCCACAAAGGAAGATTCTGGTTCTTTACAATCACAGAGCTTACGCACTATAGCAAAACAGATATGCAGTAATGAGTCAAATAGCCTTTTGCCATTCACATCTTTTTACGCTTCTAGGTCTTCTAGTAAAAAGCTAACAGATGATGCAAAATATTCTAAAGAAAATTTAAATGAAAGATTAGCAGTTATACTGCACAGCATATGTTTAAATTCAAGTCATCATATGCTTTAATTTACAATAGTTAATACTTTTTAAGTATTTTAAGAAATGTAGAAAATTTAAGTGGTACAAATTGTCCATCTACATCCAAATCTTTAAAAGTAATCAGTCCTTGTTCCTTCCATTCTGTAAATGTTTTATCATTTTGTGAAGGAATTAAGCCACAGTTGTAACAAATCAGAATATAAACAGATTTTTGGTAACTTGTAGACATTTTTAATCTGATTTGATATTTTCAGGGTGCACTCAAAAGGACATTTGTGCCTGCCATTGTATTCTGTGATTCAATTCTACAAACAAGCAAAACAGAAAGAAAGCTGTTGGCTTGTGCTTCTGCTCTTTGTCTAACCATGCAAGAGTTTTGTTAACTGTGCCAGATTCATGGGGAAAGCCAGTTTGCCAATATATCATGAACCTTGCATTTGCAGCCCAATAATAATGATGAAAGACAGGAAGATCTAAACCTCCTGCATTCGTTGGATTTTGCAAATGAGCTTTGGAAATATAAAGAATCTTATAATTCCAGATGAATGTTGTAGTTATTGAGACTAGTGTCTTGAAAAATGAGGAAGCAAGAAACACAGGTAAATTCTGAAACAGTTATAAGAATCTGGGGAATGAATTTACTGTACACACTCCATCACAAAGAGTGACAAAGCAATAATATAATAAAAAACAATAACTGTAGCTAACTTTAAAATACTGCAGAGGAGCATGGAAAAATACTGCTACTCCATTATATGCGCGCTATCACCCCTCCCCCTAATAATTATTGCTTTTGATCACATGTATTCTTGTTGAATTCCAAAATCAGCCACACAGTAAAGTATACTTACAGAAAGGAGGAATTTGCTTACTGTTTTTGTGCTGATTCATTTCTAAACCTTACTTTTCTCTTCACATTCCTGTTCAGATTGAACAGGACATAATACGTAATAATTAGGTTTCTACATTAAGGAACTATCTCTATTTTATTTTAAAAAACAGCTTTTATCCTGGACAATGTCTCTGGTCACCTGTAGGAGCTGAGTTGGAATCTTCCCCCAGGAGATTAATGGATTTTTGCCTCCTCAGGAGAAATCCAATTCAAACCAGCAAGGGTCTTAAGCAAACAGGTAGGAAGTCAGATGTGGTGTCATTTTAAATTAAATAACCATTGCATGGTGCTATAAACTCAGTGGGTTCATATTTTATTTTCACCTGTGAGTTATTTTTTCAGTACACATACTCTACGTCTCTCACAACTGCCTGGAATATGTTAAAATAATAAAACACCTTGAAATTACACCTTCTGAGAAATTCTCTGTTCTTTTATTGGTCTTCCAATTGGAATAAATTCCAATTTCATTTATTTAATTTTCAAGTATAGTTTTATTTCTGCTCACCTCCTCAGCTTTAAAAATTACTCCCTTTTTTCTCACACTTGGTATAACAAAATAAATGAGATTGTTGACTCTTGAGACATTCTTAGTACAGTATGTGTTTGATCCTTCGTATCTGCCACTTTTGTTTTATTTTATTGAACTGGTAGAAATCGCAAATCTTATGAAGGCAACAGTTATGTTGGAAGTCCGATTTTGATCATAAGGCTTTCAGATGGTATAAAGGCCTCTAACCTTATTCAGTTAAGCTTTGATGTCTTTTGTAGCACTTGTGGTACTGATGATAAGTTTACTAAGGTATACAAAGCCCTCAACATATTATAATGCTTCTCCGTTGATGATGGCTGGAAGTACTGCTATTGTATTGATGCTCATGACTTGTGTTTTCTTTTCTAAAACTTTTTTTATCATACACAGACAAGCAGAAAGCAATTAGAAGTGCAGCAGGACAAGAGAAAAACAACGATACACTGGAAAAAAGGTGTGTAACTGGAAAATAAACATAAACAAGGACAAAAATAGAACAACAACTACAGTATAAAACAATTGACATAAGAACACAGCAACCAATATGTAAAGCAAATTATGACTAGGGAAAGAGACTAGTAGTGAAGTTTCCAAAGGGAGCTGAAAGGATTAAAAGAATGCAAAAAATACTGCAAGGTTGAATAAAATGTATCTGTCTAACCTTGAGCTGCAAACATTACTTTTTTTTACGTTTTAGGAACTTCACTGCATCTCTCAAACACTGTATTGGTGTAGGAGTTGTAAATAACTTCTAGCTGAACATCTGTGCATCTGACACATACGTTTGCAAAACCCAAGGACTTTGACTGCAGTTTGGTCAGATAAATGTTACTGGGCCAGTGACCTAGCCAGGAATTTATATTTGGGGTGGCAGATGGGTGGGAGGGACACCCAGGGGAATTTTTTAATTATATTATTTGCCTTCTTAAATAGTCCACCGAAATGTCTGTATACGTTAAAACAACAGAACAAACGGTCATATCAAAGGATTGTCATTGAGCCTATTATGGTTCTCCCATGGTCTCTGTCATCTCTTCGTGTCCATTAGATAATTATGTGTA